CCTATACTTGGAACGATTTATGCATATAATGCCTATACTCAAAACAATGTTTGTATAGAAGACCTACCATAAAGATGAATGTGTATCCAGTTCTGATATTCAGAACGATTTATGTAAACAATGTCTATATTCAGGACCATCAATGGATACAATCCCTATACACAGGACGATTAGTGTATACAATATATATACCAATAACCATTGGTGCATGCAATACATATACTCACATCTATTTGTGTATATAATACATATACTCTAAACGATTACTGTTTACAATACCTATACTCAAAACGATGTGTATAAACAATACCTATCGTAAGGACGATTTGTGTATATAATGTCATACTCATGACGATTTGTGATTCCGATATCTATATTCAAATAAATTGCGGTCGACAATACCTATTCTCTGAACGATGATTGCATATGACACCTATACTTAGAACTATTAATGTATACAATACCTTTACTCATAACGATAAGTGTATATAATGCAAATACTGAAAGTTATGTGTATACAATACCTAAAATTAGAATTATTTGTGTCTACATTACTTATACTCAGTATGATTTATGTATACAATACCTATATACTCAAGACGATTTTTGTTCGATACCTATTCTCAGAACTATTGTGTAAAGAATACTTATACTCAGGGCGATTTCTATTAAAAATCTTTTTGCAGTACGATGTTTGTAAACAATAACTAAATTTTTAAAACTCAGGACGATTAGTGTATGCAATACCTTTTCACAGAACAATATGTGTATGTAAAACCTATACAACAAACGATCTGCGTATACAATACTTATTATCAGATCGATTTGTGTAGACAATGCCTTGTCTTAAGGACGATTTGTGCAAACATTACAAAAACACTTAAACTATTCATGTATAAAATGCCTATACACAAAAGGATTGATGAAGTCAATACCTATACTCAAAACGATTAGTGTAGACAACACCTATAAACAAAATTGATAATGTTGATAATCCCTATATTTGGAATTGTTTATGTTTACGATACCAATAGACAGGACGATTTATGTACAAAATATTACTACTCAGGACAATGTATACAATACCTATAAACAAGAATATATGTGTATGCGAACCCTATGCTCAGAACGATATGTGTATTCAATACCTATACTCGGAACGATTGTGTACACAATCCTACATTCAGGACCATATGTCTTTTTATCTTACCTTCTATAGATTTATGGGGATATGATTGGTTAATCGACTACACGTGGTGACCATATATATTTCATATAGGGTGTCCTAAAAAATACCTGGTTAGTTACTATATACGGTTAGCAACCATATGGGGTTAGTAAGGGGTTACTTCCCTTTTAAAACAAAAATGACATCTGAAAGGTTTAAACAGACGAAGAAACTGGTAATAAACGATTGAAATACATTCATAAAACAAATTTTAAGCTAACACGTTGTTATTGTTGGCATTTGTTTTTTGTATAGACAAGTGGAAGTAGGTTCTTACACATGTTAAAATCAAGTATTGAAGTCTTTTTAATCACTTTGATAGGCCGCTACTCTTAATACCACATGGGAAGATAGTCGGTAAGATAAATTCGTTACACGGTGTGCTAGTGTCCTAATACGATATATATGGGGTCAGTAAATTCCATATGGGGATTCGAGCTTCGCCCTCACCTCATATGGAATTTACTGACCCCATATATATCGTATTAGGTCACTAACACACCATGTAACTAATAAAATATGTATTGTAAGAACGACTTTTTATACAATGCCTGTCCTGAGGACGATTTGTGCAAACATAACATATACACTATTCATGTATCCAATACCTATGAAGATAATACCTTTAATCAGAACGATTTGTGTATACAATACCTATAATCAGAATTCATAATGTCTACAATCCCCATATTCAGGACGATTTATATATACAATACATATACTCAAAACAATTTGTGAATACATATATATTCTCAAGTTGATTTCGTGTATACAATAACTATACTCAGTACGATTCTTGTAGACGATACTTATACACAAGATGATTTCTGTTAAGTATTCGTAATCGCCGGACAATCTGTGTGTACAATAACTACATTGTTAACAATTTGTGTAGACAATACCTAAACTCAGGACAATATGTGTATAAAAAACCTATGATCTTAACGATATATTTATACAATACCTATACTCAGAACAAATTAAGTCTATAACACAGATACGATGTGTATATACAAGTTAGTGTATAGAATGCTATACTTAGAACGATTCGTGTATACAATATGTACATTCAGGACGATTTGTGTACACTATTTATATTCAAGCCGATTAGTGTATGCAATGCCTATACTCAGAACGGTTAGTGTATACAATAAATATACTCAAAACTATTTGTGTACGCTTTTAAATCTCAGGACAGTTTGAGTATTCAATGCATATACTTAGTGCGATTTGTAGATGCAATACCTTTACGGAGAACGATTTATGGAAGCACTATTTATACGCAGTACGATTTGTGTGTACAAAACCAATAATGAATCCAACGAAAATATTCAGACCGATTCAGGTATTCAATACATATAGATATAAGAAGATGTGGTATGACTGCCAATGAGACAACTCTCCATCCAAGTCAAAATTTATAAAAGTAAACCATTATAGGTCACAGTACGGTCTTCAACACGGAGCCTTGGCTCACATCGAACAGTAAGCTATAAAGGGCCCCAAAAAATAACTAGTGTAAAACCATTCAAACGGGAAAACCAACGGTCTAATCTATATAAAAAACGAGAAACGAGAAAAACTTATGAACCACATCAACAAACGACAACTACTGAACATCAGATTCCTGACTTAGGACAGGTGCAAACAAATGCAGCGGGTTTAAACGTTTTAATGGTACCAAACCTTCACCCTTTTTCTGAAACAATAGTGTAACATCATAACATAGAAAGACACACTATAAAATATCAACTGAAATAGCTTAACTCAATCAAAGGACATATTAACACCATTGAATATACACTGAACAAATAAATTTGACCTATGACACAATGTAAATACAATATAAATAAACTAAGGGAAGAATAATAAAAGTAACATGTTATATCAGTAAGAAATGTTAAACAATAAAAGAAAAACAATATGCTCGAACAAAAATACCATCCATTTGCAATACCTTTAAACACAGGTAAATGAAAATAATTTTGTTGTTAGGTATACGTGTACAGTACCAATAGAGAAAGGAAATATTATTACAAAATAAATAATTTTGAATACAAAATAAATAAACTAAGGGAAGAATAATAAAAGTAACATGTTATATCGGTAAGAAATGTTAAACAATTAAAGAAAAACAATATGCTCGAACAAAAATACCATCCATTTGCAATAACTTTAAACACAGGTAAATGAAAATAATTTTGTTGTTAGGTATACGTGTACAGTACCAATAGAGAAAGGAAATATTTTTACAAAATAAATAATTTTGATGTTCATAGTACGAAGCGAAAATTTATAGTTATACCAAACACTTATCAAAGCTGGTATATAGACCAGATATAACCCTAAATAACATTAAATAACAAAAAAGCAATACAATTAGTATCAACAGGTCAAATAAACAAGAAAGTACGATTTGAGAGTACTCGCAGTTACTGACAGCTAGTTAAAAGCCAAAACAATTAATAATAAAAAATCATGCATCAGAGACATATACTTGTATATACATGACAATTACTAAACTGAATGTGTAAACAATGCCTATACTCGGGACTATTTGTGTATACAAAACCTATAATGAAGACGATATGTGTATCTAATGCTGATACTCAGAACGATTTGTGTATTTAATACATAATCTCATGAAAATTTGTGTATACAATATCGAATATTGTGTAAACAATTCCTTTGCTCAGGAAAATGAGTATAAATAATGTCTATACACAGAACGGTTTGTGAATACAATACCTTGATCGATTACAATGTGCGTATACAATACCTATACCTAGAATTAATTGTGTATATTATATGTAAATTGAAGACAAGTTGTGTATACAATGTCATACACATGACGGTTTATTCATACAATGCTATACTCATAACGATTAGTGTACACCACACCTATACTCGGAAGGAATTGTGTATACATTGCCTATTCTATTATTATTTATGTTTTCAATACCAATACACAGGACGATTCATGAATACAAAACCTTTTCTCAGAAAGATTAGTGTATACAAGTCCTATTCTCGGGACGATTTTGTGTATACAAGTCCTATTCTCGGGACGATTTTGTGTATACAATAACATTACTGAGGACGATATGTGTAAACAATGCCTACTATGCGCATAACATTATGTGTATTCAACGCTTATACTTAGAACAATAAGAGAAAAATACTCATACACAGAACAATTTGCGTATACAATAACTATATTCAGGACTATTCGTGTATACAATATCTTGTCCCAGGATTATTTTATTTAACCATGTCTTTACTCATGACACTGATTTTATACAGTACCTTCAGACGGTCAGATTTGAGTATATGCATACTCAGAACGATATGTGTGTACAATTACTATACGCAGACCGATTTTTATATAAAGACCTATACTCAGAAAGATTCAGTCACGTACACATTAAGTACTTGTATAGACTAATAAGTTTCTGTGATAATGTAACGAAGGAACCAATGATTTAGAAATTAAACAAAAACACAAACGAACTTGATTGTCTGATAGGATATCATATAAATATATAGATTATAAATGTCTTATTGAGTATCTTAATACTTCATTGATTTACCACATATAAATATATAAATTTATAAATTTCTTATTGAGGTTCTTAACACTTCATTGATATATATAGATGATAAATATCTTATTGAGGATCTTTAAAACACTTCATCGATTTACCAAAGACATATTTGATAATGGCTAAAATATATTGTTTCATTCAAAGATAATTTAGCCTAATATGAATACCTTGTTCACAATGTACACCAGCGTAGCCTGGAACACAAACACAACTGTAAGCATTCACTTCATCTTTACACTTTCCGCCGTGAAGACAGTCCACAGAGACACAATCATCAATATCTAAAATAAAAGTGGATTGTACTTCCTTGTATAACTGACTTCAAAGTATTTCAAGGGGTTGTTCATCTTAAGATGGCACTCTATTACATTTCTGCGAACGCATGACTTTATTCAATCCATAAAAATATTCCTGTCCCCCCTTGCCCCCTGCCCCCCCCCCCACCCCCCCCCCCCCCTAGCCACATAATATCAAAAAGTCGTCCCTTTATGATGAAACTTAGAAATCATAAAATATCATTATTACCGGTTAATTGAATTTTGGGGGGATAGTAAGCTTAAGAGACGGCCTATATTTATATTATAATTCTGCAGAACTTTGTATAATCAGATTAATAAATTCACCTATTTCACAGTTGTTGCCTTGGAACCCTTCAACACAAGTGCATTTGTAGCCGTAGTGAATATTTGCACATGACGCCCCGTTTTCACAAGGTTTCGATTCGCAATAATCTGAAATATAACAGTATATGAAAAGCCAAACGAATCAAGATTTCAACATTTTAATTCTTAAATTGAAAGCATGTAACCCCGTGAACTTTGCAGTTCTTAATTTGTAACAGTGCAATGCGGTAATTAAACGTCCGAGAATTGCAACTCTTACTTTTCAACTCCGCAACTTTGTAATTTTAAATTCTATTTTTTATGTTTCAAACTTGCTACATGGTATATTTGTGATATGTACATTTGTAAAAGATGAAAAGAAAGAAGTTGTAAATAACAAAGCTCAATAAATCTATTAGTTTTAGCCTTTTAGAATGATACCCAAAAAGGGATGATCAAACTTATATACATAATGGTATTGAGGATTCAAATATTTCAAAGAAGGATACATACAAAAACAGCCAATGTTTATAAGATAAGCCAATTATGAACATAATGCACCGAGAAGTTTTCACCTGACCTTATCCCACACCCACTTCTTTCCAGTTGCTGGTCTTTTTCGTCTTGATCATATTTTAGTTTTCATTGTAGATTTTATTGACTATGTAAAATAAGGAGATGTGGTATAATTGCCAATGAGACAGGTATCTATCAAAGTTCTAATGGCGTGGATTTAAGCAAGTATAGGCCATTAACCCATACCGTATAGTCATTCCGTTCAAACGAAAAACCCAACAGTCTGATTTATGATAAAAAAAATACAGTAAAACAAATATAATATGACGGACAGCAACCAAACGAAACCACTGAATTACAGGTTCCTGACTTGGTACAGGCACATTTAGAATATGGTCAGGTTTAACATGTTCAATGGTGTAACAGCATAACATTAGAACAAACTGTGCGCATCAGCTGTATTTTTTTCAAACTGATGTTTGACTTTCTTCGACTTCGATAGTTTGTATTGCTCCTTATCTTGGATGTCGGGTGCACCTTCCCCGTGCGGGATTCGAACTTTCAACCTAAGTGTTGACAGGCTAGTTGTACAGTAGTTCGACTACTTAGACCACGCGGCCATCGAGGCCCCCTTTTAGCTTTTTGGGATGTATTAATCGTCTAAAATATCCTAGTCACTGAAGTGGGAAGATTATACCCATATTTTAATGCTCTTCAAGTTCATTTGAATTTCGACTTCGAGCTGTTTTGATTCGATTTGCCACTTATAAGTCTTACGTAGGCGAAACGCGCGTCTGTCGTACATAATTATAAGTGTGGTATCTTCGACGAGTTTTGACAATCACTGCATCGTTGTCACTGTTAGTCGTTTCATACACAGAGGGTGTTTTCAGCCCAGGAGTCAGCAATCCTGTTCTGCCATAAAATATCATTAATGCAGTCTTTTTCTGTAACTGTACTTTGATCAATGTTATAAAAAAAACAGGGTTTATAAGCAAACCAAAGATTGTCTTTGGCAGATTATGCACTTCTGTTTTGAATATTTGATGTTCGATGCTCTTTAACTTCTTCATTAAGTTGACATTCTTACTGTTTTTGGTCGAAGGTTAGTTATCAGTCGTTTGTCGTACTTAGTTATAAGTGTGTTTGCCTATGGTATTACCTCATTGAATTACAAAACTATGTGATAGAAAATTCATTTAAATACATACCTGGACAGTCTACAGTATTACATACTGCACTTTCACTGCTGTCACCCACGCAATCGGTACCTCCGTAAGCAGGAGTTGGATTGTCACATGCTCTTGTCCGGGTGTTCGTACTGCCTCCGCAAGTCACTGGACATGCGCTAAACTTAGACCATTCACTCCATCCTCCGTTAACTATCAATATTGAAAGCTGTTATATAACCCTAAACTATTTATTTTTACATTTTAAAATGTTTATAAATAATTAAACTTTGTACTGTTCTGAAGGAAATTTGCATAAGCAAAGCTTAATGCGGATATGTTCTGTATTTGTACTTCTAGTTTTATGATCTCTTTTGCTTTGAATAAGTAGTTAAATAAAACATATTCAAAATGCATATTTGTTTTAACAATGAAATTCGTAAAACAAATGTAGACTTATATAACTTATAAGTTAACTAATTAATTTGTTTTCTTTATTGATTTATTTGTAGGGTTATAAATTGAGAAATAAGTTTTTTTTTCAGAACTTTTTGTACTCAACTGGGTTTGATACCGTGCCCTAATATTACTTTAAGGTATTTTTTTTGATACAATATCAGTGAAAACTAACTCTTAAAAGCGAATGTTTTTGTAAAATATCTCCAAACTAATTTAATAAAATTAAAACCAGGAGGTTTATGCTATAGAAAAATATTAAAACAGTATAGAACTGCATTTCAGGAAACAGTACTTACAGATAATCAAATATACTTCATAGCACTAACTAAAAACATATTCTAGAAAATATTACCTGGACAAGGAGAAGAATTACATATCTTATACTGCTTTGAAGAGCCAGAACAGGCCGATCCTCCACAAGATGGTTGTGGTTGGTTACAGTCCCGGGATCTATACTGGTTATTAGTAATACCACCACAGGTAACTGGACAGTCATTCCATGGGCCATATGAGCTCCACGAACCATGTACTGAAAATTGTGAATATAATTCTTTATTAATTTTCAAACGTTTGTTTTGTATATAGTTTAGAAAAAAACAATTCAAAGGATTCATTTGTTTTTTATTTTTTTTTTATCTTGGCTCCGTAGATCTGCAGTGTACTTAGTCTTTTAAAAATTCTAACTATCAAAAACCTTTCATATTTCTGCAAAATATGGATATCAAGTATAACAATTAGACCATTTTCGAGTTCGTTGCATTTCCGTCAAAAACTTTGGTTTTTAGTGAACATAATTAGTGTGTTTAGGGGCATGGTCACTTTCTTCCCTTTTCATAGGAAACGTAACGCTGAAGTACATATTCCGAAATTTGCACTATTGTATGGCAAGCCGTTGTGGAATTTATTCCCTATTTATTAATATTAAAAAATCATTTATTAATATTAAAAAATGATTTTTTAATATTACAAAATCATTTTTTAATATTAATAAATCGAATTTTTAATATTAAAAAATACTGTCATTTTTTAATATTAATAAATGAATATTTAATATTAAAAAATCATTTATTAATATTAAAAAATCATTTTTTAATATTAAATATTCAGTCTGATTTTTTAATATTAATAAATGAATTTTTAATATTAAATAATAGGCCACAGACCACAATTAATTCCTCTATTAGTTCTTTATAACGTTTTGTCTCATTAAAAAAATTGCACCTTGCATTTTTGTCAAATCTTTTGTGTGTGTAATGTATAGTACTAGTCCAAAAATATATCCAAAATTCAGAAAGATTGAACCAATGACTCTTAAAAATTTAGCCACTACACAGCCATACCCCTATCGACAAGTCAAGAGATGTTCCGAAAACTGTAAATATTACCTTTTTGCACTTGGCCTAATCACTCTTTCCATATCAAAATCAGTTTAAATACAACATCCAAAAATTTATTTTACCTCTCTTCTTTCACTTCCACCCCATAAAAACTAAGAAATCAATGAGAAAGGCAAAGAAAAAAAATTAAGAAAAAATACACTTTAATTAAAGGGAACTATATTCGTGAACAACGAAAAGTGGGGTCATTAATTGTGGTCTTGGGCCTATTAGACCCTTTTTTTTCAATATAATACCCCAAAAAATGGCACGCATTAAGCTTATTCTATATCGAACTAGCATACCATATATCAAATCAATCCGACAAGTTTTATGGCAGTTCTGATAGTTTTAATAACACTACCCTCATGTTGATAATTCTAGTTGTTTTCTGGCATGAAACTTTCAAAACATGTAACTACTAGGAAAAGTAAAAGTTTAATAACTTTCTTGTTAAACATGATATCTTAAAAAAGTAAAATGTCTATAGTAGCTAAATGGTTAAATTTCTAGAATCTGAAAGAAAATTTATCAAAAATTATGTTTTTTAAATCGAAATTATTTTTTTTCTAAAATTCTTGTAAATTTAGTGAATATACCAACACTGAACATAAATAAAATTCCATTAAAAATATTTAAAAAGAAAATTAACTTTCAAAACTTATCTTAAAAAATTGCTTATCTTATCTGTAATAAGTAAAATATAACATAAACACTTATCAGACAAATTTCACAGGTATTTGGCCTGTTTACCTGAGGTACCAATATTCATGTGTAACATCAGGTCAGATTACATGTAATGAAAATTTCAAACTAGTGTAATTTCTTTATTCCTTGAAATATTACTCTGAAATAAACTTTTTAGTGAAGTTTTCTGTTATGTTTATTTTTATAGATAAATAGATTTTAATTTTATAACAGATTTCTGTAAGAAAAATAGTTATTAAAAAATATATTGCATTTTGATAAAAAAAATTATAAAAAAATTAATAAAAAAAATAAATATGCTTCTTTGTTAAATTAATCTCTCAATAAATGATAAAGTAACATTTTTCAATAGATTTGGATGAAACAATCTTAATCTGGACCCCTAATAATAGATTAATTGGCTTAGTTGGATACTGCTAAGAAAACTCTGTTAATTCAGAGTTGCCTCTGAAGGTGGTCTCTTGAAATCTACACCACAGACTGCATCAAAGGAAAAAATGTACATCAAAGCAGATATCATACAATGCTTGATTATAAATATAAGGATGTCCAAAGTTTATGCTATCAGTCCAAGTTGGGATATTAAGGATCCAGTTAAATTTTCAAAATGTTCACTAAAGGCTATACCAAGAACAGGTCAAAGAAAGACAACTCTCCAAGAAATCCTGGATGGTTCCAAGCTGGAAAACCCAGTGGTAGAAGCCGAAGCCAGACATCAATACCGATCCCTCAATCAGGTAGTGCACGTACTTCCCATGTGCGGCAAACTTTTCAATCTTCTGACTGCAAAATAGAGACGACTGGTAACATCTGTACTCTTCGCTCGCAAGCTGACCTGAAAAGAGAAGAAAATAAAGCATTACATTTTGGTATGAGGTGGATAGACAGTCAACTGACACTCAGCTTGTACAACACTACTTATGATAAACACCAAGTGGACTCACCATCCTGTCCTAAATTTAATGTTGACTATCATGAACAGAAAAAGTGGGGAACTTGCTGGCAGTATACCCTGAAATGCATAACCTGTGGTTTTATTGGAGACAGAATAAAGATGTACAAAGAAATAGCTAATGACAAACCAGGACCCAACCCAGGACAACCAAATGTAGCCCTTGCATCTGCTTTGCAGGACTGCCCAATTGGAAATACAACAGTGCAGCAACTCCTTGCAGGAATGGACACACCACCACCATGTCGAAGCAGTATGCAACGCACATCCAGTAGAGTAGCAGCTGAAATGGTCAAACTGAACAAAACAGACATGGCACAGAAACTGGAACTAGTAAAAGAAGACAACAGAAAGCGAGGTGTCCCAGAAGATGAAATTAACATAATTGTGGATGCTCGATACAACAGCAACACAATTGTTAGTAAAAAGAAACCCGGTCAGAATGCCACTCAAGCATTTGCCCTTGCAATAGAAACAATGACAGATAAAAAGTATATAGTAGCTGCAGTTGCGCAGAATAAGATGTGTTGGAAAGGGGCTTGGCTTAGAGGAAAAGGCTTTCCAATAGAATGTCCTGGCCATGAAGAATGTACAGCAAATTTATACAGAGCTGCTGCCCTGTCAGAGTACGAGCTGGGAAAAGAGATAGGAAATCAGCTAGGACTCCAGAAATGTCTTGTACGGTATGTGACCACAGATGGAGATGGACGTTCAGCTAGAGGTATTGAAGACGCCCTTACAGCTCTCGAACCAATGTGGAAAGTGGAAAGACTGGCAGATCATGTACATTTGGGACAGTCTCAATTCAGGGCCTCTTTGCGAGCTCAATACAGTGCCGGAATGTTCCATGGAAAAACAAAAGAGGAAAATAAACAACTGAGGACGGTGTTTAGCAAAGATCTAAAGTGCAGATGCTCCATGATATTAAAGAAACTGATGGAGAAATATGACAAAAACATTGATGAAATAAGCAAAGACTTACCAAAAGTGCTCGAGGCAACTCTTCGCTGCTATGATAGTGACTGCACCCTGTGTCCGGAATATTCCATTATCTGCAAAGGTGATGCTGCACTTAACTGGTGGAGTCGTTCATCGTACTTGTCCACATACCAGATCACTGCCCTGCAAATGGATAAAACAGATAAATTTTTACTTCAAGAAATCCTGAAAATGAAATTAACTTCAGCAGCTATTGAAAGTATGAAACTTTATGACAATACAAACAAAAATGAAGGAGTACATAGAGCACTGAGTCTTAATTTGCCCAAGAATGTAATTTACTCCAAAAATATGGAAGGACGACTTGCTTCAGGAGTACATAGAAATAACAACATGCCGGGAACCTCGACACAACTGAAATGTACAAATCTAGGGGTAGACCTTTCAGAACGAAGTAAACTTCACCTGAAGAAAATGGACACTGACTTTCAATACAACCAAGATTACATACTAAGACAAGCAGTTCAAGAAAGGAGATTAAAGCAGAATGCAGAAAAGCTTGCAGAGCACAAGACATGGAGAGAAATGAACAAAAAGCATGACTATTACTGCAAAGGTCAACTAGATCCACAGCCTGCCTTACAGTTCCAGGACCATGACAGCTACTGCAAACCAAAGCTTCCAAGACCTGCTGCAGACTGAGATACCAGAGCCACCAGCAAACAAAACCATAAAAGGTCCTTTTCAGGACCACCCAAATATCAAAAAAAAGAATCTAAAGTTGTTGTACATTAGCTTCCAATTTTTTTTCCATTTTTTTCTCCCATTCTGATAAAAATATAAAATGTTGGCCTGCCCAAAAAAAAAAAAATAAGTAAAATGAAAATAAAAAAGTACCCGATAATTATTTTACCCAAATTATTGTTGTCCATTTTTAACTCCACTCTGCAGGAAGGAAGGGGATCTGGGTGGCCTAAGCAGGAACCGGTTGAAATCATGACTGCCGGCTGTTGTTGAAACCATGAGGTTCCAACGACAGATGTTCGGCAGTAATGCATTTCGAATTGTGGCTCAGGTGCGAAACATCATCAGTTTTATCAATAAAAATATTCTGATGATGCACCATGTAGGCAAGCCTGTGCACATGCATTTGTCTCCACCCCCTGGCATCTGGAAATTTACAATTAATAACTCCATATTTGCCATTAGGTGTACATAAACCTGTCCAAATTTGACACTGCCCATTATAGCCAGGTGCAGAGCTATCTCTTAATTTTTGACTATATTTTAGATAAAATGCATCCATTTTGAAGATGTGATGTTTTGTAAAACAATAGAGTAGTAATATATTCTAAAATATAAAAAGGGTCCAACATTATTGACAGAAAGGGCTGAAACTGGGGTCAAAGGGCTTTCAGTGCATCAAAATGGCCAAAAATGCCTAAAATTGCATATTATAACCGGTTTAAAGATTAATATTGAATAAAATTACAATAAACCAATAATATTTATCATTTCAAGTGACTTTCTGCCAAAAAAGTTGGTCCTTTCTTTATTTTCAAGAATTTGGGTATCAGCCTCTTAGGCCACAGACCACAATTAATTCCTCTATTAGTTCTTTATAACGTTTTGTCTCATTAAAAAAATTGCACCTTGCATTTTTGTCAAATCTTTTGTGTGTGTAATGTATAGTACTAGTCCAAAAATATATCCAAAATTCAGAAAGATTGAACCAATGACTCTTACAAATTTAGCCACTACACAGCCATACCCCTATCAACAAGTCAAGAGATGTTCCGAAAACTGTAAATATTACCTTTTTGCACTTGGCCTAATCACTCTTTCCATATCAAAATCAGTTTAAATACAACATCCAAAAATTTATTTTACCTCTCTTCTTTCACTTCCACCCCATAAAAACTAAGAAATCAATGAGAAAGGCAAAGAAAAAAAATTAAGAAAAAATACACTTTAATTAAATGGAACTATATTCGTGAACAACGAAAAGTGGGGTCATTAATTGTGGTCTTGGGCCAATACGCTGATTTTTTAATATTAAAAAATCAACATCAATGTTACCTTAGCGTTTAATATAAGGCAAACCAATCATTTATCTGTCAAACGCTTTAATGATGATTATTGGCCAAGTCGGTCCGGAGAAATTTTGGACCGACTATGTTAAGTCAACTCGGACCATCTTATATCGACCCAGACAAGTAATTAAGGAAAGTTCGAACTATTTAATGATTATAAACCATTAAATATTGAATTTTGAATTAAATTTTCTTTTAAAATCGTGCATTAAATTTGCCAAAATAATTTCAAATTATAATTTGATCCATGTGAATGGACTCAATCCTACGGAAGCGTATTAGGAACAAAACAAATTAGCATTGACCAATATTTGGCAAACATATAGACTAAGCAACTCTTTCGTATGGCAAGCCGTTGTGGAATTTATTCAGTGTACCACTCTGAATGTAAATTTTTTACTCTTCTGGTGATAGCCACGTGGTTAAATATTCTGCATTGCCCCTATCAGAGCTTTGAAAAGATCTATTCATATCAATATTTAAGTTCATGAAAAAAATCAAAACATAGTGTCACATTCATGTTTACCACTGACTATATTCTCGATCGATTTATTTACTTGGGCCAACATAAGCGATTTGTAGGTATTTTTTTGTTAGTCAAATAGGACACGGAATTTCAACCCTTCCATTTTTTACATTTCAAATATCTGTAATACGATTTCCGTAACCTGGAGTCTGGACTAAGCAAACATACAAACTATTAGTCCCATGCATACAGTTACCTTGTTTCTTCTGTCAAAAATTTGAAACGTGTTTAGATTAAACTAGTAGTACAGTGACACGATATTTCTTTATAGCAATATAAAGAATAAGGAGGTGTTATGTGGTAATATATGATTGCCAATAAGACAACTATTCCACCAAAGTTCAAATGAATTGGGTGTAAGCAATTATAGAGAACTGTTCGTCCATCAACAATAAGAAAAATATAGGGACATAGTAAAAAGTAAAATGGGCACATTTGTTTCGAAGTCGAACTTTTGACATGTCAAATCTAAAAATGTCGACTTTAACTCAAATTTTTGACTTTTCAAATCTCGAAATTTTGACTGTAATCTGAAATTTTGACTTTTGAAATCTTGAAATATCGACTTTTTTAAAAAGTATTACAACTTTAATATAAGTATTCAAACACAGCTATTACAATTTTAGAAGGAGATGACATGGACGCAAATAAATAAATAAAGCGTCATCCAAACATTTTGTCAATTTATATTCAGAAATAGTTTTGTTCTCTTTGATAATGATATGGATTAACATTTAAGATTGAAGAGTTTAATTCGGAAGGAGCATGCGTGTTGACAGAAAAAAAAATGTTATTTTCCCATATTCCATGTTTTAGTGTCCACGACTCTGTCATAGGGTCGTCACATCTAAGGACATTTTGCATCCTATGTTTTATGATTGGGTTAAAAGTCCTGTTCGGTATCCCAAAAGCAGGTCAACGACTTTGCCTTGTTGAAACAATGGTAAATCAAGTGGCAAAATATGCCATGCATATTCAGGACGACTCATGAGCTCCTCAGTTTTCTAGTTTTAGAACATATAAACATATAAATACTGAGAAGTTGAAATTTCCAGATTCTAAAACTTGAAATTTTGAGTTTATTTTGAGTTTAAAGTCTAAATTTTGACTTTATAAAGCTGAAATTTCGACTTTTCAAAAAGTCAAAACTTTCAACTTTCTAAAAGCCGAAATTTCAAAATTTCTAATAGCTAAAATTTCCAATTAAAGTCAAAATTTCGAGATTTGAAAAGTTGAAAATTCGACGTTTCAATACGATTTGATTTGTCAAAATTTCGAATTTGAAACAAAAGTTCAATGCCAATTTTAATTCTATAGTTTGTTCCAAATATGATTCCGTAGTATCCAAATTTCATCAAGTTTATCATAAAACTTATTTCATACCCAGAAAAAAAACCTTGTGAAGTGCATGCTGATTATAGTGTGTGATACACAGCGTTATCTAGTTTGTTCTTATGTTGTGCCGTTATACCACTGTCAAAGGTTAATGGGTTAATGGGTTCTCACATACATAATTAATGTTTTACTCCGGTACATTGTCTAAGTCATGAGCCGTAGTTCAGTGGTTGTCGTTGGTTCCTGTCTGTCATGATATTTTATTTCGTACAAGCCGTTAGTTTTCTAAGAAACGTTGTTTCATTTTTCATGGCGGGGTCTATTATAACCACCTATACCAGTGTATATAAAGTCTAGGTACTTGTTAAATGTCAAACAAAAAAACTCTTATAGTCAACTGAGGTACTTGTGAAATGTTCTCAATTAAAAGAAGGTATTCGATAATTGTCCAATATTTGTAGCAGGTCCTTGATGAATGTCCTATAGTTATAGCAGGTACTTGTTGAATGTCCTTTAGCTATAGCAGGTACTTGTTGAATATCCTATCGGTATACTAGGTTCTTACTGAATGTCCTACAGATATAGTAGGTACTTGTTGAATGTCCTATAGTTATATCAGGTATTTGTTGAATGTCCTATAGTTATAGCAGGTACTTATTGAATATCCTATTGGTAAGTAGGTTTTAGTTGAATATCCTATAAATATAGCAGGTACTTGTTGAATGTCCTATAGATATAACAAATACTTGTTGAATGTTATATAGCTATAATAGGTAAGTGTTGAATATTCTATTGGTATAGTATGTTCTAGTGGAATATCATATAGATACAGCAGGAACTGGTTGAATGTCTTATAGTTATAGCAGGTACTTGTTGAATGTCCTATAGTTTAAGCAGGTACTTTTTGAATGTCCTATTGGTAAAATATGTTCTTGTTGAATGTCCTACAGTAAAAATAGTAGGAACTTCTTGATTGTCCTATAGTTATATCAGGTATTTGTTGAATGTCCTATAGTTATAGCAGGTATTTGTTGAATATCCTATTGGTATAGTAGGTTCTTGTTGAATGTCCTACAGATAAAGCAGGTACTTGTTGAATGTTCTATAGCTATAATAGGTAATTGATGAATATCCTATTGGTATAGAAGATTCTTGTTGAATGTCCTATAGTTATAACAGGTACTCGTTGAATGTCCTATTGCTATAGCAGGTACTTTTTGAATATCCTATAGCTTTAGCAGGTACCTGTTGAATATCCTATTGGTAAAGTAGGTAGGTACTCATTGAATGTCCTATATATATATCAGGTACGTGTTGAATTTCCTTTTGTTACAGTAGGAACTTGTTGAATATCATAGTTCTAGCCGGTAGTTGATGAATGTCCAATATAATTACTAGGTAGTTGATGAATGTTCTTTACGTATAGCAGGTACCTGTTGATTATAGTATAGCTATAGCAGGTACTTGTTGAATTTCCTATAGATATAGCAGGTACTCGATGAATTTCCTATATCTATAGCAGGTACATTTTGAATATCCTATCGGTATAGTAGGTTCTTGTTGAATGTCCTAGACATATAACAGTTACGTCTTGAATTTGCTTTTTTATAGTATGAACTTGTTGAATGTCATTTAGTTATAACAAGAACTTGTTGAATGTCCTATATTTAAATCAAGTACTTGTCGAAAATCCTATTGGTGTAGTAGGTTCTTGTTGAATGGCCTATAGATTTAGGAGTTACGTGTTGAATATCCTATAGCAGGTACTTGTTGAATGTCTTATAGTCATAGCAGGTACTTTTTGAATGTTCTATAGTAATAGCAGGTACTTGTTGAATGTCCTATAGTTATAGCAGTTACTTGTTGAATGTTCTAAAGTTATAGCAGGTACTCGATGAATTTCCTTTGTGTATAGCAGGTACTTTTTGAATATCCTATCGGTATAGTAGGCTCTTTTTGAATGTCCTAGACATATAGCATTTACGTGTTGAATTTGCTTTTTATAGTATGAACTTGTTTAATGTCATTTAGTTATAAAAGGTACTTGTTGAATGTCCTATATTTATAGCAAGTTCTTGTTGAAAATCATATTGGTATAGTAGGTTCTTGTTGAATGGCCTATAGATTTAGGAGTTACGTGTTGAATATCTTATAGATATAGCAGTTACTTGTTTAATGTCTTGTCTTATAGTCATAGCAGGTACTTGTTGAATGTCCTATAGTTATAGCAGGTACTTGTTGAATGTCCTATAGTTAAAGCAGGTACTTGTTGAATGTCTTATAGCTATAGCAGGTACTTGTTGAATATCCTATCGGTATACTAGGTTCTTATTGAATGTCCTATATATATAGCAGGTACGTGTTGAATTTCCTTTTTTACAGTAGGAACTTGTTGAATATCATAGTTATAGCCGGTAGTTGATGAATATCCAATATAATTACTAGGTAGTTGATGAATGTTCTTTACGTATAGCAGGTACCTGTTGATAATACTATACCTGTAGCAGGTACTTGTTGAATTTCCTATATCTATAGCAGGTACTTTTTGAATATCGGTATAGTAGGCTCTTGTTGAATGTCCTAAACATATAGCAGTTACGTGTTGAATTTGCTTTTTTTATAGTATGAACTTGTTGAATGTCCTATAGTTATAGCAGGTACTTGTTGAATGTCCTAAAGTTATAGCAGGTACTCGATGAATTTCCTATATCTATAGCAGGTACATTTTGAATATCCTATCGGTTAAGTAGGCTCTTGTTGAATGTCTTAGACACATAGCAGTTACGTGTTGAATTTGCTTTTTTATAGTATGAACTTGTT